AATTAGTAGCGCAGCTCTTTCTTATCTTTCTTGACAATTTGGAAGTAATTAGGCACTCGTATCTTTTGAAACAAGGGTAATTCCTTACTTCGTTCCGCCTGCTCAATATGTTGACGTTAGCGCAGAAATACATGAAGAACAGCACTATTGGCGCTACAGCAGTAACGTAGGTCAGGTACCTGCTTTTCTCCTGAAATAGTTGTAAAGTAATGCGTCACTACTGCTGTCATGTCAGCTGTGTTTTTTTTTGAATTTTTGAAGTGTAGAAAGTTATAGCCATCCAATCTCTGAAAATTTCTTGCTGTACATTGAGTGATGGTCAAAGCTGGATTCATGGCGCATAAAGGTCTAGGACATCCTTAAAAGCGTCTCTCGATACATAGAACGCTTTGAGAGATTGGTTTTCTCCTGGCAGTGTTCCTATATTTAATGCTGCCCCCCTTAACACTTTTGAGTAGACTTACTTGAAAGGTGGGAACATTGGAGAATTAACATCGAAGGCTGAGGTTGCTTCACCAACATTCCCTTTTGAGGCGTTGAAGGGACCATCGCGGCATTTATATCGTTACCTATACATGTACCTGCTTAAAGGCACAAGTCGGGATTGGATTTATGCTTTATTTTGTTTTGTTCAAACATTAGGCAAGGGGTGCAATGAGGAACATTAGTGAGGAGAAAAAGCAAAAAGCACCATAGAAAACACTAAATTTCCCTCAGGAGGCCGGCCGTAGTACGACGGAGAGACACAGCGCTGCGAGGAGAGGGAGAACGCGAGATAGTACGTCATACGCGAGAGGACGCAGAGACCACGTGTGCCGTGGTGTCGTGCTAAGCGCTTAGCGCCATTAGCCGCACACTTCCGAGTCGCGATAGTGTCGCGCCTGTCTGTCTAGATACGACCTACTTTCGCACCCTGGAAGAAAACTCCTACTGGTTGCCTAATCCTGACTCGTGGCTTCAAAGATAGATGTCTTTTTTGGTTTCTTTTTCATCTGGGAGTGCAGACGTCAGTCTCGAGCTTACCCATCGTCATGGCATCTAGAGCGAACTGTCGTCAAGCCAAAAGCAGTAAAGGTTCAATTCATTTGCGCAGACTCCCGGTTTATTGTGGTAGTATGTCAACAAGGAGAATTGTAGCACTTATGGTGCACATGGTGTGTGTATAAATCCCACCATTTCAATGATTGGGGGATCTCCAAAAGTGTCTTACCTTCAGATAAGAGGGTGACATGGCAGTCACCGCTTTTGATAGAACTCGCAGCATCTTGAGCTAATCCGCCAGCGAATTTGTTGGAAGTGCTAGCCTGTGTGAACTTCTCTCAGGTGCAGGCGGCTGCACGTCAATCCTTAAGGAAACTCCGTATACAATGAGCATTTCTCTGTACAGATTATGACGCCCGCGGGTCTATGAATCAACTAATAAAAATGCAGGAGCTAAGGCTGTCGGTCCGCAAATAATGGTCTCCTCTTCTCGTAATTCAATAACGTACGGTGGAGATTACCGTGTCTGAAACTATTCCACAGCAGCGCTGCTCCATGCCAACAACCGTACACGGGCACAAAACATCAATGGCATTACCTTCTATTTCTCACTTGTTCTGCTATTATCTGGCTTTTCGTTGTTTTTTTCCCATTTGTAAAATTTATTCTTCTTAGAATGAATTGGCAGTTCCGATAAGATCGTAACACTAGACTTTAACGTTCGAAGATTGTCAGTCAAAAATTCCAAAATGTCACCTCTCTACGGCCTTCTAGAACTAAACGCTTTGAACATCATAAGTGTTTCACAGTTTTAAATAAGTTCGTGACCCCGTGGCGGCTCAATGGGTGCATTGCAACTGAGGCCGTAACGCCTAATTGAATTGACACCTCGTCACTTCTGCACATGGTCCGCGCTTGCGTACTGCTGCATACGGGAAAAACTGATTTTCAACCGATTATCCCGAACTTAGCCTCTAAGAACACGCTCACTCAACCGCGAGATACGAAGTGTAAATATGGTTTCTTGCTTGTAGGTACACATCCCATCTTGACTTCAGGGAGGGCGGAGTCGTGGTCAAGATTAAGAGTGCGGTGGCGGCTGTCTACTCATGGAAGTTTAACAGGAACGATTTCTCAGTATGCTTGCCTTTAATATTGCACCTAAAATCGAATGCATGCCACAGGGTCAAGCGAGGCGTTGAGGAAAATTTGGAAATACGACCCCCCCCCACCACCCTCCGCCGGAGGCCGAAGTCCATGAAACAACCCTCTTCAAAAGCCGAACTATGAAAAGGTTGAAAAGCTTGTTTAATTCTCCCCCAAAACTGCTCATAAAAAAGCCCTGCTACCACATCCCTACCCCATCGTCCACAAAAAAACTCGTTTAAAAAGTATAAAAGTGAAAAAGTCAAAGAATGATCATTAATGACGAGTCCTGTCAAACGAGCAAACGAGAAACGGAGCAAAAAACGTCAAACTAGTCACTAGAAATGGCGTACTATGACAACACCTCTTCTTTGTTTATTTCCTCCACAAGACTTACCAAATTCTAGTACTACACAGATTATGGTTCTCAATTTACACGTCCCCCTTTCGCTCAAAGGAAGCCTTGTAAAAGCCTTCGCCAGCTGTGTGTTGACTGGACTTTGGCGTTGACCGTGGAGCAGCTTATTTACTATTGAAATTTGAACAAATATTCAAATGATTATAACTTTCTTCAAAGTTAACGAATTTTCAATCTGAAAGCTGATTTGGGAGTTTTGTGAAGAGCTTTTTCTAATCAGTATAGAAATTACAAAAAGTTATAAGAAATAACAAATTTAGGCCAATTAACGAGGAAAATTCGAGATGAGCACGAGTTTTTACACTTTCCGAAGCAAACAACTTGCTTCATTTTCGTCAAATTCGAAAAGTTAATATGGCAGACAAAACTAGAAGATTTTCTCTACCAAACCATTGCTAAAGCAGCTCTATACGTCCAGTATTCAAAAAATGGCCACGTTGAGGATTTTTGCAAAATTAACGAGGAAAATTTGTGATGAGTGCGAGTTTTTTTACTTCCTAAAGCCATAACTCCGTTCAAACTCATCCAATCCGAAAAGTAAATACGCCATCATAAACTAGAAGATTTGCTCTATCAAATGCTTACTAGAACTGCTCCAAACGTCCAGTATTAAAAAAACGGCTACGTTGAGGATTTTGCACGAGTACCGCCGAAAGGTACTTTTTCGCTACATTGGCACTATTTCAACGGCTGTATATCCTTTTAAGGGCGATTATGTACTAAAGTAAGAGCAGATTTGGAATCACTGCTTTTCTCTTTCTAAGAAAAGTGATTGATTAGCGTTTCTCAACTTTAAAGGTTACATGTTTATAAATTTAACCCTGAAGAGTCCGTTAACGCAGTGTTGAATGGTGTACACCTCCCTGTAAATGCGCACGGACACTTTCAGAATTCTCTCGATTGTTCCTGAATTGAGGTTGTTTGTCCAAGGAGCCGTAGTTGAAGCGCGCGCAACAACTAGACCCTTTCTCGGATGCGCCGTGTACCTCACATCCCTTCAGATTCGGGGTCTTACTTGAAAGATGAAATATCTCTTGGAAAGCGTGCGAAATTCAGATTCTTTAACTTGTGTGGTGATAAAACACTGAAGTAACTAAGAATTACCGGACGCCTCAGAATCACGAAAATTTTGTGTGGGTGAAATATCATTTTCATTGGAAATCCTCTGGCCTGGCATCGACTCATCCTTGATATTTGTCTTCCGACGGTGATGATCCCACTGCATCAAAATGGCTCGATCTCTTCCACCCAGCGGGCCAATACGACCCCCCCCCCTGCGACGTGTCGAGGATTCCTCAACGCACGCTTGACCCTGCTGGGCCGCTGTTGAACATTGCTGGCGCAGTCCGACCGGAGCACGGGTGCAGAGCTCCTCTAATCGGGACTAAACCTAGAGATGTCCACGTGTTAATAATAATCATTCTGATACACTCTGGTTTCTATTTTTTTTTATAACCAGGCGTGGTCGGTAGATGAACCTTCGCTATTTGGCCATGAGTTCCGACCTTTACTTTTCCCTGATGGTCTGAAAATATTATACTATAGATAAGATCAATGCTTTCAATAAAGCAAGCTACCCGACCAAGCACCTACCCCTCTAAAGTTCTTGACGTCGTATGAAGAACATTCCCGAATTGCCTAGTAATGGGAATAAGGCTTACTGGTGATTTCACGAATGGTGCGGCACATTTGCTCACGTCCTCTGTTAGTACCTTCATTGTGGAAAAAGGGCTCACAGTCATTCGAAATGCACACCGCCCTCTTACTACTCGGATATTATGCAAAAGATATCCAGGGTCTAGTTCAAGAAAGTTTCGATCGTCCGCATGCCTGGCTTTCCTTACCAAATTCTGATCAAGGACTATTCGATTTGTCTAACGCTTCTAAACACAACTTCGCGAACACTAGAAGGCGCATGTTGGGGTGCCCTGTTACTTGAAAGCTTCATGCCTTTTCCAACCTGACCATAAGCCGACACAAAGGTTTGACTTTGGGAGAGTGTTCTTATTAGCAAGCTGCTCTGACATAAGATAAATACATAAGGTAAATTTCGTCACGTAATGTCGAGGTCACAACGAAGTAGCACGAAGTCTCTTTGTTCTTTTGATTCTGGACGGCTTTCGCAGTGTTGCTCATGATCAACGCAGTTAGATAGCCCATTGGGTTGCGATCATTTGAGAAGAAAAAAAATAGGAAGAAATAGTAGGAAAACGAACGTCAGCAGCATTGACACTTGTTACAAGTTCCCTGAGACCGACAAACTGAAATACATTGTCTCACTTTCTTGCCATTCAGCACATTGACAATTTTTAAACTTCAGACCGCGTCCAGAGATTTTAGCCATAGGACAGTCAATTGGTCGGAAAGCGGACGAAGGCGGGCACACTCCCCGTCGGCAGATCAATCGACAGTGAGTGTGCCCGCCTTCGTCCGCTGTTTTCTTTTTCTTGTAAACGCTCAAACTTTTTTACTAAACAGTTTTAACTATCCTACTCGATATAATGCGCTAAGTCGGTCTGTGCGTGCTGGATAGTCCGTCTGTCACGAAATTCGGTACTACCCGAAGAACCACCGACGGAGTTTGGGTCATGTTCGAGATGGGTGGGCACAGGTCAGGAAGCACAAACACACATCAGCTGGGCGGAGCTCCGCCCACACCCCCAAATTGGGCGGTGCGAACGGCAAAAATTTCAAGTTCGGAGATAGAACAACCCGAAGACCGGGAAAAATGGGTAAGGGGTTGCACCGAGTTAATAAATCGAATCAGAGAGATCTGCTCGCGGTGGGCGGAGCCTAACGAGAAGGCGGCTCTATAAGGCAAAGCTTAATAGAAAAGTTCATATTTTGCTTAGGAGAAATCCTGTTGTGCAGAAAGAAATCGGTGTGGGAAAGCATTCTCTAAGGTAGTCTCAACATATTTTGACTGGGCGGATGCCCACTAGAGGGCGGAGCGTGCTCCTAGAAAGACGCTTTGGGATTAGACATGCTCAGCTGTTCCATCCCCGAGCATAGTAGGCAGGCGGACAAGCGTTGTGTTGCGCTCCTTTTGCGATTTGCAAGCGACAAAAGCGCGAGACCGCAATCCACCCCCTTTTCTGCATTTCTCTCCTTTGGCGGTGAGCTGCCAATGACGCTGCGAAAATAGCGCGAAGAGGAAGTAATGCCACCTTATCGATTGAGCAAATGGAATGGATCGATTTGTATGAACCACAGCTGTACAAAAATACCTCTCGAGCAAATGTCCTTTTCTCGTCCAAAGAAATTGTTTACACTTTCATTTAACGTGTAATGAATATTGACCAAATTTGAATAGAATCTTAGAATCATTTGACGTGTCTGCACTCTATAACAATGTCAGCAACAACAAGGCTTTGCAAGCAGTTTCAGAAATGCTTGACGAGCACGCAAGAAGTATGGTGACGTTTGGATTGAGTAAAACTCAAATAATGGTTCTGATCAGGGAATGTTTGAACTGCAATATATTTAAGTGGTCCGGAAGATATTTCTCACAAATCAGAGGGCTTGCAATGGGACAACGGCTAGCACCGGTTCTCGCTGTCTGCTTTCATGAGTAGAATTGAACGCCAGTGCTAGCACTTTACCAATCATGTACTGCCGTTACATCGACGACTGTTTTGTCATCACATCAACTCAAGCCGAAATGGACGAGTTGTTCAATATTCTTAACAGTCAGTCGCAGTACATCAAGCTACTCGAGAAGTCCCGCGCGAAGGTTGGCTACCCTATCTGAACACTCAGATTAGGGTATCCAATGGACATACAGTGTGAAATGGTATAGAAAAGAAAGCTCTAAAAATATCATCATTCACGCACTGTCGGCACACCCCAGAGCTGTTAAACGAGCAGTACAGCGAAACATGTACAAAACGGCTGCGGAAGTGTGCACCGGTGACACATCTGGCTAGCAAAAGAAGGCTAAGCACGAATGCACCTTTTGATAAACACAGAAGAGAAAATCAAAAAGAATCATGCTGGCAATGATTTTGACGTCAAGTGCACGATACTAGCTTACGAAAACGATATCGGTGCTAGGAAAGACCCTTGAAGCTTTCTATATAAGGCAACGCAATCCATGCATGAACAACAGAAATGAATGCATCTCCATAACTGCCGATTTCTTGCCCTATATCCTCTATGCGAGCTATGATATTGGGAACGTAGTGCACTGCTTATAAGGAGTGTACGTGCAGCACTGCAATTAGCATGGTTAACACTTGGCTGCATCTGTAATTGTGTTGAGCGGATAGGTAACACTTGAAGTTTCGAAACGCTTTCAGGCCTTTGATAACGACGATTTGTCGAAACGTTAGGCTAAATAAAGATTCCACCATCCAAACCTGTTCGGCACCGAAGCAACAATACTGATTGTTTACACTTCGTTTTTGATGATTCATTATCCTTCTGTCGTGAAGTTGTTAGGTGGGGAACTTTATGCTAGCCATCTTTTAGCCGTACCTTCATTTTCGGAAGCCCAGACGTGGCTCGATGTTTGAGAATTGCTCATACCCAATCGAACGTCTTTCCCATTTTAACCTTGACGTCATCTCAGGGACGCACCCGATTCCCAAAAGATGAGCTCACCAAATATTCACTACGAGTGAGTGTGCACTGACCGAGTGTAGCGCTCTGCTACAGTCCGCGGTGGAACGGGTAAGCCTATCTTCTGAATTCTGGGTATTTTCCATGTGTAGATTAGAGGAGCGTTCGGTAGGGTAGTGTATTCTTTTTAGAGTATGAGCCATTTCAAAGTCTTCAGAAACGAAGGGACAGCCAAAACATTGATCGGAATGAATTCACCGAATATCCTCGCGACGAAATTGTAACAATACAGACGGTAACGGAAAATTAAGAAAAGTCCAGGAATACATCCTATTGTATCTTGTCCAGGTACGCGCAATGGAACTTACCAAAGTTGCGAACGGTGTGATGTTGTAGATGGCGAAAAAAGCAGGGTTTGCAGGTCCAACAATATTAAATGTGCCGTCTTCAGGGTATTCTTCGGCGATATCTATCGAATACTCTAGTGAACCTGAAACGGAGCCCCACTGAGATGTGTCATTTGTGTCGGTGAGGATGGATTAATCGCCTTTGAAAGATTCGCAGAACATTGGATCTCATACGGCTCCTTGCTGGCACTCTATGACAGCTATGTCATCCAAGTAAACCTTCTGTTATATAAAAAAAAGAAGAAAAGCCATGTGCCGGTTTGCAAGTATGTATGTTTGGATGTCGGTCAGTATGCCTGTTTTCCGTCTACAAAATGAGCGCAGCTAATGACTATACAGTAGCAGTCAGAACTTCGGAAGCTTCTTGTATTTGATCTAACGCGGTCAAGAAGCAACGAGAATGTCTCAAATTAACATATTTATAAAAAACAAGTGAAGGATAAGATGCGCAAAATAGTTCCCCGGAAACTGAAATAATGAAATAAGAAAGTTCAATTTGAAAGAATTGGCGCGTCAAAAGTTGGGGAACATTTTGTTCTCCTCATCAGTATAGGTTCACCTCTCCAGTGTTTGTATATTTTTCTTACTATTTCAATTATTAATTCTCATGCGGTTTTCAAGCATTTATGTGGAAAGGAACATCAGCTCCACAAGAGAAGTTTTTCTATAGTATCTTATAGTATCGAATACAGGAAGACCTTGTTTCTCAGCAGTTCATTCTCTGCAAAAGCGCTATTTTCTAGATTTCTTAGCGCTATCAAAGCCCAAAGACAGCTTCACAAGGAAACTAGCATTCCTTGAGAACCTCAAAATGGGTAGTGGACTCGTTTCGAAATATGACACAAACAAAAACACATAAAAACCTGACCGCACGGTCTTTAAGCAAAGGGTGCCTTCTAGCGCTCGGCTTTTTAAAGGTTAGCGGGTTACGACATCGTTCATGGCTTATTCTCCCTTAGTTTTCTTTCTTGTAATCTGAAATGTTGCTTGGACGAATTGTTTCAAGAAGATGCTTCGATTTGCAGGCTCCGAAGAAGGCGAGTGCGCCGAAACGTAAGCCGAACAAATCATATACCAATATCGGAGGCTTGAACAGAAGCAACTATCACTGTAGTCGTTTCGTATCCACGACATCCTCAACCTTTAAACACCTTTTCGTTTTTTCCTCTCACCATCAGTCGAATTGAAGTTGAAGTGCTGCTCAGTATCGGCCGAAATCTGGCAAATAACGGATCGTATAACTTCAATAAACGATATGCCTTTTAGTAGGCTCCATGTCCGTCTTTCTTGAAACCTCGGCATTTTCAGATGTCTGTTATTTCTTCTGTGCCTGACAGGTTTTGTATGGTGGAAGATTTATTGCCTGACGTTTCGACGAAATCGTCGTTTTCAAAGGCCTGAAAGCGTTCCGAAACTTTTACGAACTTAACCTATCCGCTCAACACAAATATGCGCTAAGCTTACAACACTCAGACCAGCGAACCATAGTATGCTAACTCCAAAAACGGTTTCTCACCTTAATTCCACCAATGTTCCGCTCAACGGCCTCCCTCAGCGCTTTGCAGAGTGAACAGAAAGTGAAACTAACTGACCGCACACTGCTTATAAAGGAGGAACGTGCAGTGCGCTCCGTATTCACTATCATAGCTCACATAGAGGGATGTAGGGCAAGAAATCGGCAGTTATTGAGATGCACTCATTCCTGTTATTCATACTTGGATTTCGTTGTTTTATCCAAAAGGCCTCAAGGGTTTTCCTAGCACCGATATCGCTCTCGTAGGCCAGTATTTGTGCATTTAACGTCAAAGTCACAACCACCATGATTTTCCCTTCTGTGTTTGCCCAGCGGTGAAACCAAATTTTCCCTTCGTTTACTAGCTAGATGCTCCTTTATACGAATACCTAGTTGTCTCCCAGTTTCTCCAATGTACAAGGCATCACATGTTGAACACTGAATCTGGTAAACCACGGATCTCTGTGCACAGTCTCCTACTTTTCCATACGGGCAGATAACGCAGTTATCCATGATGCAAGTCTTGTCATAGAGACGATTTCTGACCAATTGATGTTTGACGTTGTCTCTTGGTGTATTGACCAAGAAGACGTCATTGGCCAAATCTGCTCTTCTTAGACATTCCTGTATAACTGCGCTAAAATGGTCAGATATAAACGGAAGTTGAAGATATATCTTATTCTGAACTTCGTATGGAAAATGCCTCGGTCTGCTTCGTCTCTCCCACTGCCGTCGCTGTCGTGCTGTGTAACCATTAAGATTAGCTATTTGATGGGCTAATCTTCTGGATTCTTCTCGCTCCTCGTCACCGGTGCACACCTCCACAGCAGTTCTGTACATGTTACGCAATACTGCTCGTTTAACAGCTCTAGGGTGTGCCGACAGTGCGTGAATGATGATATTTTTGGAGCTTCCTTTTCTATACCATTTCACATTGTATGAGCCATTGGTGACCTTGACCTGTGTGTTCAGATAAGGTAACCAACCATCGCGTGGGACTTCTCGGGTGAGCTTGATGTACTGCGACTGACTGTTAAGTATGTTGAACAACTCGTCCATTTCGGCTTGAGTTGATGTTATAACAAAACAGTCGTCGATATAACGGCAGTACATGGTAGGCAAACGTGCTAACACCGGGCGTTCGATTCTACTCATGAAGCAGATGGCAAGAACCGGTGCCAACCGTTGTCCCATTGCAAGCCCTCTAATTTGCGAGAAATATCTCCCGGACCACTTAAATATGTTACAATTCAAACACTCCTTGATGAGAACCATTATCTGTGGTTTGCTCAACCCGAACGTTACCAAACTTCTTGTGTGCTCGTCAAGCATTTCTGAAACTGCTTGCAAGGCCTCATTGTTGCTAACGTTAGTGTAAAGCGAAGACACGTCGAATGATTCTACAACACAATTTTGTTGAAACCTTAATTTTCTAACGATCAATCCACTAACGATTCGAAAGGTAGTATGCGGTTTGCAAAAGTTTAGAGACCAATTTAAGAGCGAAAGTACGTCGCGACTCCCAGGTGCAAGTAGATGAAAGGTCAGATCATAGTGCTCTAGCACCTATTCCGTTCCCCCGGTCATTTTATAAAGAAACGGAGCCTCTTCCTGAAGCGGATATCAAATTCCGAATTCTATCATCAGGGATACTATCTGCGCTAAGTAGATTTAGAGGCAGTGGGAGCTCGAACTTGACCAGGGAACAATGGGAAGGTTTCAAAGAAGTCAGGGAAAGAATAGCGCTACAAGAAATACGACTTTCTGTTAGTGACAAAGGTGGGGAGTTTGTGGTAATACCGCAATCGTTAGATAGGGAAATCACTGAACTCCATCTAGCAGATACAACTACCCGGACCAGGTTTATGAAATAAGGTGTGACAGAAAGGGCCTTCCAAATGCAGCTGTGCACAGATTGAACACTTTGTGGATGAAAGTAGGTAAATCAGCCAATTTGGACGAGAGATTGATCAAAAGACTCAAACTGGAAAACCCGACGTGCCCAGTCTTCTATAGCCTAGTCAAAACTCACAAACTGTCTGCTGAAAACATGCGATCACTCCTGCCACAGGATTATAAAATAAGACCAATAATCAGCTGTGTGGATGGACCGACCGATCGCATCTCATGGTTTCTCAACAAGATTATCGGTCAACTTCTCGCTCATATACCTTCACATTTGTCGAACACGGGACAATTCCTGGACCACTTACGTTCTTGCAGGTTTCAACAAATTGTGTTGTAGAATCATTCGACGTGTCTTCGCTTTACACTAACGTTAGCAACAATGAGGCCTTGCAAGCAGTTTCAGAAATGCTTGACGAGCACACAAGAAGTTTGGTAACGTTCGGGTTGAGCAAACCACAGATAATGGTTCTCATTAAAGGAGTGTTTGAATTGTAACATATTTAAGTGGTCCGGGAGATATTTCTCGCAAATTAGAGGGCTTGCAATGGGACAACGGTTGGCACCGGTTCTTGCCATCTGCTTCATGAGTAGAATCGAACGCCCGGTGTTAGCTCGTTTGCCTACCATGTACTGCCGTTATATCGACGACTGTTTTGTTATAACATCAACTCAAGCCGAAATGGACGAGTTGTTCAACATACTTAACAGTCAGTCGCAGTACATCAAGCTCACCCGAGAAGTCCCACGCGATGGTTGGTTACCTTATCTGAACACACAGGTCAAGGTCACCAATGGCTCATACAATGTGAAATGGTATAGAAAAGGAAGCTCCAAAAATATCATCATTCACTCACTGTCGGCACACCCTAGAGCTGTTAAACGAGCAGTATTACGTAACATGTACAGAACTGCTGTGGAGGTGTGCACCGGTGACGAGGAGCGAGAAGAATCCAGAAGATTAGCCCATCAAATAGCTAATCTTAATGGTTACACAGCACGACAGCGACGGCAGTGGGAGAGACGAAGCAGACCGAGGCATTTTCCATACGAAGTTCAGAATAAGATATATCTTCAACTTCCGTTTATATCTGACCATTTTAGCGCAGTTATACAGGAATGTCTAAGAAGAGCAGATTTGGCCAATGACGTCTTCTTGGTCAATACACCAAGAGACAACGTCAAACATCAATTGGTCAGAAATCGTCTCTATGACAAGACTTGCATCATGGATAACTGCGTTATCTGCCCGTATGGAAAAGTAGGAGACTGTGCACAGAGATCCGTGGTTTACCAGATTCAGTGTTCAACATGTGATGCCTTGTACATTGGAGAAACTGGGAGACAACTAGGTATTCGTATAAAGGAGCATCTAGCTAGTAAACGAAGGGAAAATTTGGTTTCACCGCTGGGCAAACACAGAAGGGAAAATCATGGTGGTTGTGACTTTGACGTTTAAATGCACAATACTGGCCTACGAGAGCGATATCGGTGCTAGGAAAACCCTTGAGGCCTTTTGGATAAAACAACGAAATCCAAGTATGAATAACAGGAATGAGTGCATCTCAATAACTGCCGATTTCTTGCCCTACATCCCTCTATGTGAGCTATGATAGTGAATACGGAGCGCACTGCACGTTCCTCCTTTATAAGCAGTGTGCGGTCAGTTAGTTTCACTTTCTGTTCACTCTATCAAAGTGCTGCCCCGCGCTCGTCCCGTTGGGGCTCTGCAAAGCGCTGAGGGAGGCCGTTGAGCGGAACATTGGTGGAATTAAGGTGAGAAACCGTTTTTGGAGTTAGCATACTATGGTTCGCTGGTCTGAGTGTTGTGAAGCTTAGCGCATATTTGTGAGCGGGATAGGTTAAGTTCGTAAAAGTTTCGGAACGCTTTCAGGCCTTTGAAAACGACGATTTCGTCGAAACGTCAGGCAATAAATCTTCCACCATACAAAACCTGTCAGGCACAGAAGAAATAACAGACCATTTCTGTTTGACTTGAGAGAAGGTAAGGCCCCGACTAGCCTTCGCATGCAGCGCTGCTTTGACCAAAGACTAGAGGTAAAAAATTGTGCCCAGCAACAAGTCGAATTTCTACCTTCTTGGAAATGATGTTGTGAATTTTTCGGTGTTCTGACAGCAGGAAATCTGATTTTAGTTGTTCGGTTCCAGCAGGCAGAAAGGGTAAAAGGACTAGAGGAAATCATCGTAGGTGAGGATGTGTCGGACCATCTGACAATTTCTCGGTTCTCACTATTCAGCGAAATGCGGGCTGTGCCAACAACAAGGATAGAAAAAAAAAAAATATCGGAGGCGTACCTGTGCATCCTTTTCGGTACTAATAATTTGTCGGAAAATAAGGATTTTCTGTTAAGACAATGATCCTATGCAAACATTCCTCTACATTGCCGCCTTCCTGAACTCGTGAAAAAATCCTATTTTTATAGACCGCCAACCTGGGTGTGTCGGTTTGTATGTACGTGAGTATGTATCTCTGTGTGTCCGTCCGCAAATTAAGTGAGTTATAAGGCAGCTACTGAAATAAAAAAAAACCGCTAATAGAATCGACTGGCTTTGCAGAACTTAAATGTTTTGTAATGGGATAATTGTGATAACACCCCTACGACATACAGGGGTGGCCAAAAAAAAGAGACACTTTGCCTGTGGCGCACATCATCGAACTTTTTGTCGCACAGGGCACCGATGTTAATGAGAGTTTTATGGCGGAATATTCCTAAGATGTTCCTACGTAAGCAGAAGTAGGCCCTTTTTCACTGCCTCCACCGTCTTCAAAATATGACGTCATCTGTCGTCACCGTCGAGCTC